TAGCTAGTGGGTGAGAGCATTAGCAAATGCTGTATGGGCCCTGCCTATATCTCCCAGCCCACTTCTTATTGCAAACACAGGCCATTCTTTATCCAAGGGCTATTTTCCTGGATGCGGGGTCCATACTCAGCCTGAGCGGGAATAGCCTCCAGCCACTCACAACTGGGAATTTGTGTATAAATAATGCAGCTCCCTCACGCCTCAAGTGGGATGACACTGAGCTATGTCTATACTGGCACCCAGAGTTTCCTATTAGGATTGAGCTCCAGTCATCTACTGTAGTAGCTAGCCTGACAATAAGCAAGCTTGTTGGCTTTGTTGGCTGCCTTTCCTTCTCTGTCTCCATTCCCTGCTCATCTGCTGGTGCTTCCTGGGATCACGTCCTAAATAAATCACTTGTACTCAAACCCTTTTCTCAGGCTCTGCTCCTGGGAGAAATGAACCAAGAGAAGAGCAACAGACTTGGGTTTGAATTTTGACTCTGGCCATTTGTTATGTGTGACGTTGGGTAGGTCATTTAATCACTGTGAGAATCAGTTTCCTCTTAACAGTGGAGAGATAATGGAGAGAACTATGAATATGGGTTTTTGTTAAAATTAAATGAGCTGATTATGTAAAGGACTTAACATAGTGTTTGGCATCAGTGAATGAAGAGTAAATGATAGGTATGGTCTCAGTAATTGTCCATCTTCACTATCCAGGAAGAACTAATCTATGGTGATAAAGAAGTCTGGTACCCAACTTTGAACTTAGTACCACTGAAAATGCACTTCTGAGTCCTTGGAGAGTTTCCCTGGAGAATAGCCTTTGCGTGTTCTGATTTTGTTCCCTTTCAGAATTTCCCTTCTGTTTGATCTCCTTTGATCCTTATTCTGATTTTGTGGGAAATTGAAAGAGAAATGAGGAATAGCTTCAAGTTAGTCATCAGGCTTGTTCAAATAGGATTCAAAGCTTACAATGATCTGAATAGGTTTAACTGTACCTTAGGTATATTCTACCCATGCACAATTCAAAAATTCAAGGGCCCAGAATTCTGACTTATACACAGTTGCTATAAATAGCAAAGGATATCCTCTAGTACTGATTTATATAAAATAGGACCTCTTCTTCTCCAAAAGTCAGGGGAGTATCCTCAAGGTGTAAGCAGAGGACACAGGCAGAGGAGAGCCCAGGAGAGCAGAAGCAGAGTTGTATGAAATCTCATCATCCTGATGTTTAAGAACATTCTGGTTGAGGTGGCCATTCTTAAGAACCTGTCTCACAAGTTATTAGCTTCGGTCCTGGCTGGTTGCATGCCTCATACACACACAGGAAGGCAATTTAGTATCTTCTACATCTTCTTTACATTATCATTCCAATCTGCGTGGATGCGCATTAAGGATTAAAGCATCATCGTTTACTGAGCAATTTAGTGTTCTCCTGGGAATGGCAAAGTAGGAAAGACAGCCAGCCGCAACTGATGCCTTACATATTGTGACCTCATACAATTTTACTTCTCTCACCTCTCGAGGAAGAAGTCATTCAAAGGAACTTGGAGGTACCCCTGCTCTCAGAGTGGCTGTTTTCGTGATGCGAACACAATAGCTGGGAAAGTATGTCCATTTGCAAAAATAGTAAGCATGTCAGTGAGTTGGAACAAGGGCTTTGTGTGTCTGAGAATAAAAGTATATTAGTTTCCTTTTGGACTGGAAGAAATTAGCACAGACGTATGGCTCAAAAACAACACAGATTTGTTATCTTACAGTTCCGGAGACTAGAAATCTGAAATTGTCTCACTCGGCTCAAATCAGGGTGTGGGCAGGGCTGCTTTCTTTTCTGGAAACTCTAGGGGAGAATCCATTTCCTCGCCTTTTCCAGCTTTCAGAGGCTTCTGGCGTTCCTTGGTGTGTGACCTTTGTCCACTTCAAAGCCAGCAGTGACCATCAGCATCTTTCTCAGATGGCATCACTCTGACACTCACTCTCCTGCTTCCCTTTCCTACACTTAAGGACCCTGTGATTACACTGGACCTAGGCGGACACTCTCTTTATGTTAATGTTCACTGTTGAGCAACCTCAATTCCATTGCAACTTTAATTCCCTTTTATCACATAATGTAATATATTCACAGGCTATGGGGATTAGGACACAGACTTTTTTTTTTTTTAAGTAGGCTCCATACCCAGCATGGGGCCCAATGTAGGGCTTGAACTCAGGATCCTGAGAACAAGACCTGAGCTGAGGTTCAGATACTTAACCGACTGAGCCACCCAGGCACCCCCAGGACATGGACATCTTTAAAGGCCATTATTCTACCTACAACAGAAAGTTAAGAGCAACAGCAACTCATACATAAGAGAATTTTCACTAGATGATAGAGTTTGGACCCTTGCTGCTCAGTTAGTTGGAAGGGGTCCATTTACTTTATTCCTAGCTCACAGACAGTTCCAGGCTTCACCACTGAGCAGTTGTAGGATCTTGGACAAGTTGTTTAATACCTCAAAGCCCAGATCTCCTAATTTGTAAACTAGCACCTACCTCATGAGGTTGTCCATGAGATTAAATAAGTACCTAAGAGAATGCCACTAGCTCAGCATCTGGCACAATGTAAATTCTCAGTAAGTGCTGGTTGCTGGTATAAAATAACCACAGCTAACATTTATTACAGAGATGTAAATGAGAACTATTCTCTGCGTTCTGGGAGTACAAAGGGAGAGTGTGAGGAATAAGTTACTGAATGTTTTGAGAGCTTTGTAAAATTGGAAGATAAAATGAAATTCTTGAATTAGAATTTCAGCAAAGGATTAAGGAATTAAAATTTTATTTGAAAGTAATAGCAAACCTAAAAAAAATTGCAAGAATAGGAGTACTACAAAGAACACCCACATACCCCTTTACCCAGATTCATCTATTAACATTTTATTCCATCTACTTTAACACTCTATCTATCTATCTATCTATCTATCTATCTATCTATCTATCATCTATCTATCATCTATCTATCTATCTATCTATCTATCTATCTATCATCTATCTATCTATCTATCTATCTATCTATCTATCTATCTATCTATCATCTATCTATCTATCTATCATCATCTATCATCACCCCTATAAAGCCTTCAAGGGAAAAGTAGAGAATGGTAGAATTCGGGTAGAATGGTAGAATTTGGGCTAAATTCCATATAATAACAAATGCAGGATAGAGAGGGTGTACAAGAACTGCTTTGGGGACAGCTAATCTTTACAACCCATAGCAGATGGTCTTTTCCATCTGATTCTGTTCAAAGCTTTAACTTAACTCAAAGCTTGTATCTCTGTTTTCGCTGCCACTAGACATAGGGAAGGGCTACTAAATGCTTTGAGCTGATACAATTCAACCAGAGAACAGCACAGAATGAAGCAGAACTGTCCAAACACTTTTTGTTGGTTCTTGAAGTACATATATCTTAGCTAGTGTACGTATCTTAGTGGCTCTACCTTAACTGGCCAAGACCTTATTTTTCAGGCTCTTCTCCAGTAGTTCAGCCTCATGCTAGAGGTTTTGCTGCTCTTTATACACTCCAGATTATTCTATTGGAAATACCCTTTCCCTTATCTCTGATCAGAATTCTATTAACCCTTCAAAGTCTGTGGCAGATACTATCAATTTCATGCAATCCCCAAAGTGAGATGACCTCTGCATTCTTATGCGTCATCATAATGTTTTCTACTGTCCTTTAGTGGCACTGGCAATGAAAATGATGAGGATAATAACAATCTACTAACACAGCAGGTACAAGCAACTCAGAAGTTTCCATTGCCAGGCTTCATGCTAAGCAAGCACTTTATGTGCCTTCTCCAACATATCACGAATCAGGCATTGTAATTATCCTCATTTCTGGAATAGGTAAATTGAGATCCGAGAAGGTTAAGTAATTTGCCAAGGATCGCATACTAATAAGCCATAGAACAAGGACACAGATGCTTGGGCCAAAGCCTATACTTTTTTCTTTAATACCAAAGATATTGTATGATAACAATTATATTTTAGGAAAATTTACTTACAAGGAAATTGACAGGTTTTAAATGTAAAACTCAATGAATTTTAATAAGAATGTACACATCAACCCAATCAAAATATCAAACATTTCTGTCACGCCAGAAAGTTCCTTTATTCCTCTTCTCACCAATTCCCTCCCCCACAATTAGGGACAAGTATCGTTATGATTTCTATCACCATAGATTAGTTTTATCTAATAGTTTTTTTTATTTACTATAAACATACTCATATAGTATATACTGTTTGATGTATGATTTTTTTCATTAAAAGTAATTTTTCTTGAGAGTAATCTATGCTGTATGTATCAGTAGTGTATTTCTTTTTTATCAGAGAGCCATATTCTATTATATGAATACAGCACAGATCTTTTCCATTCTTCTATTGGTAGAAATTTGGGTTGTTTCCAGTCTTGGCTATAATGACTAAAGCTGCTATGGATATTCTTGTACAAACCTTTGGGTGGACATACACTGGAAATTCCAAGATGAAGAATTTATGGGTCACAGTATAGGGACATATCTGCTTCTCTTACCAGATTGTAAGCATGTGCTGGGTGGGGATAGTGAAAGGAGACAATATTTTAAGGAAAAACATCACTTTTTACCTGACTATAACATAGAACTTAAGTCTTAAAACTTTCCTAAGGCAGAACTATAGAAAAGGAAGAGTTATAACACTTCTGATAATGAAACATCAGTCTCCTAAGAGATCAGTCATGTCTTCAGAGGCTGCATTGCAAGACCACTAATAACAGTGACATTAATGTGTTTGGGTTCCACTTAGCAATCTAGGTGTTTAAAGCACTTCAACAATTTGTTTCATGTCAGGAGGGGTTAACAAGCCAGTAGTGAATATAAACATAATTGTGTTTCATTAGCCTAAATTCCCAGTTGGAAGAGCAAGGACAAAGCCCCATCAATAATCTTTACTTTCTTCTAGAAGCAAGCAATACATGTTGGGATAAATTCATTGATACTCACTGTTGTGTTTGAAGATCCTTATGGTTGCACCTGAGAGTCGGGCCCCAAGTACAAGAGATGCATGGTTTAACTCATCACTTAAAATGAGGCATCCCTGTTCAGAAAGCAAGCACACAAAACACAGGCCAATAAATAAAATTAAAGAAAAACAACATGTGGGAACAGAAAGATACTTCGAGACCTGTAACACACATCCCCCAAACCCTCTTTAATTTTAAAAGGACAAGTTTTGCCTGATGTCTATGTGGATAAGATCCTGTAGACAATTAGCTGATAAAGATGGGGATTATTTTAAGGGATTACATCTTTAACCATTTGCATTTGATTTTCATCAGAAAAGATCCTTCAAGACATTGGTTAAATGTCAGCTACCATTTTCTAAAGAATTGATCTTTGATAGGAAAGTGGATATACTTTGGGTGGATTGTGGTTTGCTGGGGTTCTTCAATCCTGTGGTGTATTATTTGGGACAGTTTTGGTGCTCTCCCTCTGGAGGGCAGGGGTCTTTTCTGCAGGGCCTTTCAAGCTCTTGTTTTCCTATTCTCATTCTCCTCTGTATTGACATCCTTGTAGACAAAAACATCACTGCTTTCCAGCTAAAAACTTTGCATCTGGAAAAGTGTGGATGGCAATTCAGTCTGAGGCAAGTGAAAAAGATCAATCAAATTTACTGCCTATAAATTATAGTTGTGAAATTAGTTTTCTTTTTTAATTTAAACATTTCTAAATTATAAAATTGCTCAAGTGTACCAAAAATGCAGAGACAAATTATGGTGGCCATTTGTGGCCACCCAGAGTCTTTGAGTTCTTGCTCATATTTTGGAAACTTCACACATGACATGTTTTAAGTTTTGGGGGCAAGAGCCAGCAATATTCTCATACCTCCATACTCTAGATGTGTGTGTATTTATATATTTTTTTAGTGATACCTCATGATATCTCACCCCTAAATTCTTCATCATGTATTTACTGAGAACAAGGACATTCTCTGGCTAAATCACAATGCAATGATCATACCCAAGAAATCCAACATTCATATAGTGCTATCACCTAAAATAGAGCCTGAATTCATATTCCTCCAACTGTCCTAATGATATCAGTGTCTTATAGATGTTTTATTTCCTTCTATTTTTTCAATGCAGAATCCACCAAAAGATCATATATTGCATTTAATTGTCATGAATCAGATTTTTTTAAACCTAAATCTGATTATGACACTTGCTTACTTAAACTGAGGCAACCAAATTCCCCATTTTCCTCAGAAAGAATTTCCAATACTCAAGCATGACCATAAGGTTCTTTGCAAAGTGCCTTCATCTCTAGTCTCTTCTTTTTTTTATTTATTTTTTTATTGTTATGTTAATCACCATACATTACATCATTAGTTTTTGATGTAGTGTTCCATGATTCATTGTTTGGGCATAACACCCAGTGCTCCATGCAGAACGTGCCTTCTTTAATACCCATCACCAGGCTAACCCATCCTCCCACCCCCCTCCCCTCTAGAACCCTCAGTTTGTTTTTCAGAGTCCATAGTCTCTCATGGTTCGTCTCCCCCTCTGATTTGCCCCCTTCATTCTTCCCCTCCTGCTATCTTCTTCTTCTTCTTTTTTTTTTCTTAACATATATTGCATTATTTGTTTCAGAGGTACAGATCTGAGATTCAACAGTCTTGCACAATTCACAGCACTTACCAGAGCACATACCCTCCCCAGTGTCTATCACCCAGCCACCCCATCCCTCTCATCCCCCACCACTCCAGCAACTCTCAGTTTGTTTCCTGAGATTAAGAATTACTCATATCAGTGAGGTCATATGATACATGTCTTTCTCTGATTGACTTATTTCGCTCAGCGTAATACCCTCCAATTCCATCCACATCATTGCAAAAGGCAAGATCTCATTCCTTTTGATGGCTGCATAATATCCCATTGTATATATATACCACATCTTCTTTATCCATTCATCTGTTGATGGACATCTTGGCTCTTTCCACAGTTAGGTGATTGTGGACATGGCTGCTATAAACATCAGGGTGCACGTACCCCTTCGAATCCCTACATTTGTATCTTTGGGGTAAATACCCAGTAGTGCAATTGCTGGATCATATGGTAGCTCTATTTTCAACTTTTTGAGGAACCTCCATACTGTTTTCCAGAGTGGTTGCACCAGCTTGCATTCCCATCAACAGTGTAGGACGGTTCCCCTTTCTCTGCATCCCTGCCAACATCTGTCATTTCCTGACTTGTTAATTTTAGCCATTCTGACTGGTGTGAGGTGGTATCTCATTGAGGTTTTGATTTGGATTTTCCTGATGCCGAGCATATTGAGCACTTTTTCATGTGTCTGTTGGCCATTTGGATGTCTTCTTTGGAAAAATGTCTGTTCATGTCTTCTGCCCATTTCTTGATTGGATCATTTGTTCTTTGGGTGTTGAGTTTGATAAGTTCTTTATAGATTTTAGATACTAGCCCTTTATCTGATAGGTCATTTGCAAATACCTTCTCCCATTCTGTCGGTTGTCTTTTGGTTTTGTTGACTGTTTCCTTTGCTGTGCAAAAGCTTTTTATCTTGATGCAGTCCCAATAGTTCACTTTTGCCCTTGCTTCCCTTGCCTTTGGCGATGTTTCTAGGAAGAAGTTGCTGTGGCTGAGGTCAAAGAGGTTGCTGCCTGTGTTCTCCTTTAGGATTTTGTTGGACTCTTGTCTCACATTGAGGTCTTTCAACCATTTTGAGTCAATTTTTGTGTGTGGTGTAAGGAAATGGTCCAGTTTCATTCTTCTGCATGTGGCTGTCCAATTTTCCCAACACCATTTGTTGAAGAGACTGTCCTTTTCCCAACGGACATTCTTTCCAGCTTTGTCAAAGATTAGTTGACCATACAGTTGAGGGTCCATTTCTGGGCTCTCTATTCTGTTCCATCGATCTATGAGTCTGTTTTTGTGCCATACTGTCTTGGTGATCACAGCTTTGTAATAGAGCTGGAAGTCCAGAATTGTGATGCCACCAGCTTTGCTTTTCTTTTTCAACATTCCTCTGGCTATGCGGGGTCTTTTCTGGTTCCATACAAATTTTAAGATGATTTGCTCCATTTCTTTGAAAATAGTGGATGGTATTTTGATAGGGATTGCACTGAATGTGAAGATTGCTCTAGGTAGCATTGACATCTTCACAGTATTTATTCTTCCAATCCATGAGCATGGAACGTTTTTCCATTTGTTTGTGCCTTCCTCAATTTCTTTCATGAGTATTTTATAGTTTTCTGAGTACAGATCCTTTGCCTCTGGTTAGATTTATTCCTAGGTATCCTATATTGTTGGGTGCAATTGTAAAGGGGATTGACTCCTTAATTTCTCTTTCTTGTCTTGTTGTTGATGTATAGGATTTCTGTGCATTGATTTTATATCCTGCCACTTGACTGAATTCCTGTATGAGTTCTAGCAGTTTTGGGGTGGAGTCTTTTGGGTTTTCCACATAAAGTATCATATCATCTGCAAAGAGTGAGAGTTTGACTTCTTCTTTGCCGATTTGGATGCCTTTTCTTTCTTTTTGTTGTCTGATTGCTGTGGCTAGGACTTCTAATACTATGTTGAATAGCAGTGGTGATAGTGGACATCCCTGCTGTGTTCCTGACCTTAGCGGGAAAGCTCTCAGTTTTTACCCATTGAGAATGATATTCACTGTGGGTTTTTCATAAATGGCTTTTATGATATTGAGGTATGTACCCTCTATCCCTATACTCTGAAGAGTTTTGATCAAGAAAGGATGCTATACTTTGTCAAATGCTCTTTCTGCATCTATTGAGAGGATCATATGGTTCTTTTTTTTTTTTAAAGATTTTATTTATTTATTTGAGAGAGAGAGAATGAGAGAGAGCACATGAGAGTGGGGAGGGTCAGAGGGAGATGCAGACTCCCTGCTGAGCAGGGAGCCCAATGCGGGACTCAATCCCGGGACTCCAGGATCATGACCTGAGCAGAAGGCAGTCGCTTAACCAACTGAGCCACCCAGGTGCCCCTCATATGGTTCTTGTTCTTTCTTTTATTAATGTATTGTTTCACATTGATTGATTTGTGGATGTTGAACCAACCTTGCAGCCCAGAGATAAATCCCACTTGGTCGTAGTGAATAATCCTTTTAATGTACTGTTGGATCCTATTGGCTAGCATTTTGGTGAGAATTGTTGCATCCATGTTCATCAAGGATATTGGTCTGTAATTCTCCTTTTTGATGGGGTCTTTGTCTGGTTTGGGAATCAAGGTAATGGTGGCCTCATAAAACGAGTTTGGAAGTTTTCCTTCCATTTCTATTTTTTGGAACAGTTTCAGAAGAATAGGTATTAATTCTTCTTGAAATGTTTGGTAGAATTCCCCTGGGAAGCCATCTGGCCCTGGGCTTTTGTTTTTTGGGAGATTTTTGATGACTGCTTCAATTTCCTTAGTGGTTATAGGTCTGTTCAGGTTTTCTATTTCATCCTGGTTCAGTTTGGGTAGTTGATACATCTCTAGGAATGCGTCCATCTCTTCCAGGTTATCTAATTTGCTGGCATAGAGTTGCTCATAATATGTTCTTATAATTGTTTGTATTTCTTTGGTGTTGGTTGTGATCTCTCCTCTTTCATTCATGATTTTGTTGATTTGGGTCATTTCTCTTTTCTTTTTGATAAGTCTGGCCAGGGGTTTTTCAATCTTGTTAACTCTTTCAAAGAACCAGCTCCTAGTTTCATTGATCTGTTCTACTGTTCTTTTGGTTTCTATTTCATTGATTTCTGCTCTGATCTTTAGGATTTCTCTTCTCCTGCTCGGTTTAGGCTTTATTTGCTGTTCTTTCTCTAGCTCCTTTAGGTGTAGGGTTAGGTTGTGTATTTGAGACCTTTCTTGTTTCTTGAGAAAGGCTTGTATTGCGAATGTGTATTCTGTTCCTTTGGGATGGAATGTTCTGAATATATCTGTGAAGTCCATTTGGTCCAGTGTGTCATTTAAAGTCTTTACTTCTTTGTTGATCTTTCGCTTCGATGATCTGTCCATATCAGTGAGGGGGGTGTTAAAGTCCCCCAGTATTATTGTATTGTTGTCGATGTGTTTCTTTGCTTTTGTTATTAATTGGCTTATATAATTGGCTGCTCCCATGTTAGGGGCATAGATATTTACAATTGTTAGATCTTCTTGTTGGATAGACCCTTTAAGTAGTATATAGTGTCCTTCCTCATCTCTTATTACAGTCTTTGGTTTTAAATCTAATTTGTCTGATATAAGGATTGCCACCCCAGCTTTCTTTTGGTGTCCATTAGCATGGTAAAATGGTTTTCCATCCCCTCACTTTCAATCTGGGGGTGTCTTTGGGTCTAAAATGAGTCTCTTGCAGACAGCATATCCATGAGTCCTGTTTTTTTTATCCAATCTGATAGCCTGTGTGTTTTGATTGGGGCATTTAGCCTATTTACATTCTGGGTAACTATTGAAAGATAAGAATTTAGTGCCATTGTATTGCCTGTAAGGTGACTGTTACTGTATATTGTCTGTGTTCCTTTCTGATCTATGTTGCTTTTTGGTTCTGTCTTTGCTTAGAGGACCCCTTTCAAGATTTCTTGTAGGGCTGGTTTTGTGTTTGCAAATTCCTTTAGTTTTTGTTTGTCCTGGAAGCTTTTTATCTCTCCTTCTATTTTCAATGACAACCTAGCTGGATATAGTATTCTTGGCTGCATATTTTTCTCGTTTAGTGCTCTGAATATATCATGCCAGTCTTTTCTGGCCTGCCAGGTCTCTGTGGGTAGGTCTGTTGCCAGTCTAATGTTTCTACCATTGTAGGTTACAGATCTCTTCTCCTGGGCTGCTTTCAGGATTTTCTCTTTGTCTCTGAGACTCCTAAGTTTTACTAGTAGATGTCGGGGTGTTGACACCTATTTTCATTGATTTTGAAGGGGGTTCTCTGTGCCTCCTGGATCTTGATGCCTGTTTCCTTCCCCAAATTAGGTAAGTTCTCTGCTATAATTTGCTCCAATATACCTTCTGCCCCTCTCTCTCTTTCTTCTTCTTCTTCTGGGATCCCAATTATTCTAATGTTGTTTTGTCTTATGGTATCACTTATCTCTTGAATTCTGCCCTCACGATCCAGTAGTTGTTTATCTCTCTTTTTTCAGCTTCTTGATTTTCCATCATTTGGTCTTCTATATCACTAATTCTCTCTTCTGCCTCATTTATCCTAGCAGCTAGAGCCTCCATTTTTGATTGCACCTCATTAATAGCCTTTTTGATTTTGACTTGGTTAGATTTTAGTTTTTTTATTTCTCCAGAAAGGGTTTCTCTAATACTTCCATGCTTTTTTCAAGCCCAGCTAGTATCTTTAAAATCATCATTCTGAACTCTAGTTCCAACATCTTACTAATGTCTGTATTGATTAGGTCCCTGGCAGTTGGTACTGCCTCTTGTTCTTTTTGTTGAGGTGATTTTTTTCATCTTGTCATTTTGTCCAGAGGAGAATAGATGAATGAGAGAACAAAATGCTAACAGGGTAAGAACATCCTCAGAAAAGATATATTAAACAAATCAGAAAAGACCTGAAACCAGGGGAAAAGAAAGAGAAAGAAAGAAAAAAGAAAAAAAAGAAAAGAAAAAGAAAAAGATAAAAACAAACAAAAACAAAACAAAACAAAAAAACAGAATATGATCAAATATGATCCAACTGGTGCATAGATTAGTGCCACACACTGGATTTTGGGTGTATTTTGGTCTGTTAGAAGAAAGTGCCTCCCAAAATTTTAAAGAAAGGAAAACTTATATATGTACAAAAATAAGGGTTAATACTATGAAGGGATGGAACATGACTGCAAAGATGAAAATTATAAAAGATTTTATAAAAAGAATTGATAAGATAAGTTAGTTGAAAAAAGAAAGAAGAGGATTTAAAAAAAAAGAAAGGGAGAGAATGTGATCAGGCAGGAGACTAGAACAAAGCCATACACTAGAGATTTAGGGTATATTTTGATATGTTAGAAGAAACTGTATCCCAAAATTTTAATATACCAAAAATAAGGTTAACTACTATGAAGGGATAGAATATGACTCTAAAAATGAAAAATAAAAAAGACTTCTTAAAAAAGGGATTGATAAGATGTTGGTTGAAAAAGGGAAAAAGAAAAAAAAAACAACCCTTAACTTTGAAAGACTAAAGAAACATGGGAAAAAAGCCATGAATTCTATGTGCCTTATTCCCCTAGCTCTGGAGTTCTGCCATTCTCATTGATTGGTAAACTTGGTCGTGGCTGGCTGTCTTTGCTGATCTTCTGGGGGAGGGGCCTGTTGCCATGTTTCCCAAATGTCTTTGCCAGAGGCGGAATTGTCCCACCCTGGGCTAAGTAATCTGTTTGGGTTTGCTCTCGGGAGCTTTTGTTCCCTGCAAGCTTTCCATACAGCTTTGGAGGCCAAGAGTGAAAATGGCGGCCTCCCAATCTCCTGCCCGGAGTAGCTGAGAGCTTGGGGCTCCACTCCTCAGTGAGCCCCCAGAGAAAAGCAGTCAGTCACTCTCATCTCCACAGTCTCTGGCCGCACTCGTGCTCATCCAGCCTGTGACCGAGCATTTCTATCTTTGGCACCCAACCCCATGTGGAGTCTCCAAACCCAGCAGATCCCTGTGGTGTGCTCCCATGCTGCTCCTCCCAAGGGAGGAAAGGGAGTCTCCCCTGATCTGCCACTTGTTGGGTCCCTGCTGGAGGAGCAGTGGCCCGACTGTGCTGTGGATCACAGTTTATGGCAACCCCGAGCTGAGAGCCTGTGCCTCGGCTCTGTCTCTGCAGCCAGCTTCCCCGCTCCAATACCTGGGAGCTCTGCCACACTCAGGCACCCCTTGGTCTTTCTGTGACCCCGAGGGTCCTGAGACCACACTGTCCTGCGAGGGTTTCACCCCCCGCTTAGCCACTGAAGCGACGCCCCTCAGTGAAGCCGACTTCTAAAAGTTCCGAATTTGTGCTCTGCTGATCTATCACTTGCCAGAAGTAGCCAATGGAGGCCCCCTCCCCCGCCATCTATCCTCCCGAATATCGCCTCAGATTCACTTCTCCGCACGTCCTACCTTCCAGAAAGTGTTCACTTTTCTGCTCAGAGAGTTGTTGCTATTCTTTTCTTCAATCTCCTGTTGAGTTCATATGTGTTTAGAATGCTTTGATCCCTATCCAGTTGAATTCCTGGGACCAGAGGAAATTTAGGTCTCCTACTCCTCTGCCATTTTTGCTCCACCCACCCAGATTCAGTTCTTATGTCACCCACTTTGCATAGGCATCTCAGCCTTTCCCAAGAAGAACTTGGAAGCAACTCTTTTGCCCTTCTCCATGTATGTGCCTGGATTTTCTGTGGTATTCATCCTATTTTATTTGGTGCATTGTTTCCCCCCTAGACTGTAAACAACATACATTTATAAGACACAGGTCTTATTCATTTTTGTATGCACTGTATCTTGCTTTATATGAGGACAAAGTCATTTCTCAATAAGTGGTCTGTTGAATGAATAAATGAATGAGTGGCATGGGCAAAATGTTTTGTTCAAATAAATGCTCCATAAGCGTTTTCTACATTGTAAATGAGGACGTGGGAGACTTAAAATTTCATTGATCTTGCTAAACTATCATCAAAGATGAAATTTGACCCACGTCTAGGACTGCAATTCTATAAACAGAATATCTTTATAAACAGATTTGCTGGACTATTTATTTAAAAAGCTGGACATCCAATCAGATTTTCCTAGAAAAAGGACCTTCTCTGCCATACTTCTAATGAAGGACCTGCTCAGAGTTGTGATTCTTAGGAATAACACAGCAGAAGACAATTATATTAACAAATTCTCACCTTTCCGACTAGTGCAGGGATATTCATTGAGTTAGTTGCAAATCCCATCCCAAAGACCATAGCTGCTTCTACATTCAGGAACTTAGCCACAAGGCTCTCCAATTCTTCATGCTTATCCAAGGTTCCTGCACATGAAATGATGGGATGAGTGCATCTTCTCTTCAACAAGTCTGAAAACTCAAAATCCAGTGCATCCTCATCACCAAAAGACATGTACCAGAGAGTGTGTAGCTGGTATATTTGCCACAGCCACAATCAAGAAACAACCCACATGTCCACATACTGTAGAATGAACAAATTAAATACCTTGTGGAGTTATTTACATAGTGGAATTAAACACCGTAATGAGAAAGAACAATCTATTACCCTACATGACAAAATGAAAAAAATCTCACAAATATGTTGTTGGGTGTGAGAAGTCAGACACTTATACACTCATACAGGCTGGGTCCATTTATATAAAGTTAACAAACAGACAAAACTAACCTATAGTGTTAGCAGTCAGTCTAGTGGTTAATTTTGTTGGGAGCACAAAGAGGACTTCGAGATTCTCTAAATGTTTTGTTTCTAGATTTGGGTGCTGGTTACACAGGTATGTTTGCTTTGTGAAAATCCTTTGAGCTGTAGAGTTAGGATTGGCACATTTTTCTATTTAAATATTGATAATGCAATAAAATCTACAAAAAAATACCACAATTTTTCTCTCCTCTCACCCTACCTCCCTCAAGTGATTAATTAAGTTATAACCCTCTCTGAGGGACCCCACACTTAAATCCAAACAGATCCCATGGTTTCTATAGATAATAGTAAATCTAGTTATAACTTATAGAACCTTTGGAATGTGCTAGATTTCAGAGCCCATTATTTAGATTATCTCATTTAATCTTAAAAGCCCAATAGTCTCATTTAATCTAAAAAGCTCAAAAGTAACATTACTTTACAGATTAGAGAACTGAGGTACACAGAGGTCATAGATAAAAACCAACAGATAATCTGGTCTAACTCCAAAGTTCATGTTTTTACCACTCTGCTATTTTTATATGCTTATGCTCTGATTCCTTCTTATACACTATCTCTACGCCTTATTAAAAGAAAATAATAATGATCCTCATATCTTTCTGTTTGCCATCACTTTAACTTCTAGATCTGTAGTATCCAATATGGCAGTCACTAGATACATGTGGTTAGTGCAAAAGAGTTTTAAATTGCATTTAATTTTAGTTAGCTTTAAGCTTAAAAACTGAAGCACTGTAAAATATTTTCCACTGAACACAACTTTATTATTTGTGTAGGATTATATTCTACTTATTTCACTTTAAACACTGAAAATTTAGTGTCTGAATTGAGATATCCTATAAGAGTAAAATATACATTATTTTTTTTAAATTTTATTTTGTTATGTTAGTCACCATACAATGCATCATTAGTTTTTGATGTGGTGATCCACGATCCATTGTTTTCGTATAACACCCAGTGCTCCATGCAGTATGTACCCTCCTTAATACCCATCACTGGGCTAACCAATCCCCCCTCTCCCCTCCCCTCTAAAACCCTGTTTGTTTCTCAGAGTCCATAGTCTCTCATGGTTCATCTCTCCCTCCGAATTCCCCCCCTTCATTTTTCCCTTCCTTCTCCTAATGTCCTCCATGCTATTCCTTATGTTCCACAAATAAGTGAAACCATATGGTAACTGACCTTCTCTGCTTGACTTATTTCACTTAGCATAATCTCCTCCAGTCCCATCCATGTTGATGGAAAAGTTGGGTATTCATCCTTTCTGCTGGCTGAGTAATATTCCATTGTATATATGGACTACATCTTCTTTATCCATTCATCTGTTGAAGGGCATCTCGGCTTTTTCCACAGTTTGGCTATCGTGGACATTGCTGCTATGAACATTGGGGTGCATACAGCCCTCCTTTTCACTACATCTGTGTCTTTGGGGTAAATACCCAGGAGTGCAATTGCTGGGTCATAGGGTAGCTCTATTTTTAAATTTTTGAGGAACCTCCACACTGTTTTCCAAAGTGGCTGTACCAACTTGCATTCCTACCAACAGTGTAAGAGGGTTCCCCTTTCTCCACAACCTCTCCAACATTTGTTGTTTCTTTCCCTGTCCATATAAATTATTTTTTGAATGCTTAGTACAACAACAACAATAATAAACTAATGTAAAATAGCTCATCAATATTTTTATATTGATTACATCTTGAGTGGTTTGATATACTTACATCTGAGTATTGGAGTGGTTCTAAAATACTATTTTGGATATTTTGGGTCAAACAAAACATATTATAAAATTAAGTTTACCTCTTTAAACTTTTTTTTTAATGTGGCTACTAGAAATTTTAAATTCCACATGTGTCTTGCATTATATTTTTATTGGACAGTGCTGGGTACATGATACACTTGGCAGAACATAAAAATGTACAAGCGGAGAGATATTGTAATTTGCAGCCACAGAGCATAGAAGCAAATTTAACTCAGATTTAAATTAAAGGAATATTGTTAGTATATTCAGGACTACTATAAACATGCTTTTTTCAACCTAAGGATCAACATATTTTACTATACATAGTGTGATACCAGAATTTTATTAAATTGGCAAATTATCTTGCTTACTGTGTTCAAATGGTGAAGGGTTAAACTTGAGAAGGCATGGACTAGTGAGTTCAAAGAGTTATTTTGCATTTGATATGAAAGAGGACATTTCATGGATCATCTTTGTCTTTCCTGACTGGTCGCATTGTTATACAACAGATGGCTGGTGGCCTTTCTTCTCAATCTAGAATCCATTTACCTTCAGATTGTCAGAAACCATAGTAAAACAAGTGTTCTAGCAGAACAATTTTGGTGGGGTGGGGTGGGGAGTTAAAATTTTAAAACTGTCATTTAAAACTTTATTATCTCTGCATCAAAGATAACAGAGAAAAAAGAAATACTAAAATTTAAAGATAAAACACGGGCACATAATCACTCATCAGATTTGTTTTTATCTAATGGAGACTGCATCCCAAAGGGAATGGCCCCAAGGATAGGTAGTGAATAGGCCATTGGCCTGGGCATGACAGCCTTGGGTTCTGGCCTCAGCTCTTCCACTAAAGAGTGGTCTCTAGCTACCTCTCCTCGAAGTTTCCAGGGAGATTGGGAGAGGTGCTGTTTTAGGCTTCCCTGACATTGGGAGTGATCTTTCCTCCACATAGAATGGTCTTCTTTAAGGTCCCACTCATTCTTTGACATCCACCTCATATGATGTCTTTTCTTAGATGCTGTTCTCAGTTTCCCCAGGCAAACTTGGTCATTTTCTTCTGAGATCACATACGCTTCATTACATAATGATTATAACACTTACTAAGTTGAACTTTCATGAGGCCATCTTCTCTACTACAGAAAGAGCCCTTGGGGTGCTGATACTGTGTGTAGGATGTTCATCTTGGCAACCACAGAGTACACCCACAGTATAGTGCAGTACTCACACATAGTAGGTGCTTGTTGAGTTGTATGCTGTCTTTTGATGGAGAAAAAAGATAGGACTAAGCCCAGAGTAGGGGATGTTACAGGGAAGAAGGTCAAGAGGTCACATGATGCTAGGACAACAAGGTGATTAGGTAGTGAGCTCTACCTTGAAAACACTCATACTTGAAGAAGGCCTCCCACAAGGATGGAGGGTGCCCAAATATTGCCACCTTGGTAAATTTCCCCATGAGCCTTTCCTTCCCAGAGAGTCAAGTGACAACTGCGTCCTGGCCCAGTCACCCAGAAATGATGAGTAGAACTTCACAGTGCATATCTGGGATATCTTCCTCCACTTTCATCTTCCCCAAGTCTGCCATCCAGGGGTTTATCTATAACAGATGCTTCATTAAAAGTCCTTAGGATAACGTAGAATGTGTTGTAAGCAATCAAAGAGCCAACTAACTAGTAAGAAGTGGATGTATCCAAGAACATCCTGAGAAAGTGCCCTCTGTGAGTCTTCATCATTAGCCCTGGCTTGTGGAGAGGAAGAAGAGAGGAAATGCTGGTGTCCATATTAGGTCTTCAGATCCAGCCTTCTTCTGGATTTCCAGTGGTCAAGTAGATAGTAAACTAATATTCAAATATACTTTTTTCTATGACCACATGTCTCACAGCTGAGTTACGAGTGGTTTTGCATCTAGGGGCTTATCTTCATTTGCAGAAAATAACAGTCCCCACTCCCAACCCCCATTTTTATAGAATTTCTCTGTTTGGTGTTCACAGCTCAAACTTAGTAAACAGATATGAGAGTCCCGGGATGGTTGGACATTTTCTACATCAGGAAGCCATACCTCTCAAAGTTAGACTGGGCTGTCTGGATGGGGTATTCATTAAGGAATACTGAAAAGTATGGCTCATTTGTATTAATTGAGAGCTGCTTTCCTCCTCCTGCTCTTCACACTGAAGAACTAAAAATGTAGGAAGACCTTGAGGAAACAAAACACTCACAAAAACTTAATGAGCTTGTTTCCTGCAAATATTCAGGCCAGATCCTAATTGGGTGGAGGTGCCTGAGTCATATCAAGCTGCAGTTGGTGGTCTGAGTATTTGAGTGGTTCTAGAAATTATATTCAACATTTTGTCTTTGTTATGTAAATATGGGAATTTTTTTAATCCCAAGAAAGCACAGCTATAGTCCGAACCAAAGGTACAAATAAATTCATAGTGATTTTTATTTCTCTTTCTCTCTGACTTTAATATATATTTTTTTTTTTTTAGTTTCTGAAGGTCAATAACAGCCACAAACTGGCTAGTGACAATGGATCTCCAAATTGCTATGTTGAGCCTACTTGTTCTCATCCTGGAGGTTTATTTATCAAATGGGATACTGAAAACCTGCTCAGTGGTATTTTCATGTGCCAAACACTGGGCTTGCTGTCATCAGTCAAATCAGTAAAAATCAGATGCAGGAGAAAATACCAATATTATGCTTATGGACTGTATACTTCTGCTGGATTTTTATTGATACTGACTGGTTTATACTTTTTAGTCAGAACATAAAGACTGCTGGCCTTCAAACTGATGCTGACTAACAGTAGAGTGTGGGTGTTATTAACAAGCTTATTTCACCACCACCAATTCTTTCTGTTCAGCACATGTGAAGACTGTT